AACCTATTTGAGAAGCCAAATAATACTTGACTAGCACCAGAAAGTCCAGATTATGGACATCAGCAGCAAGCTTAGACTTTGTCCTCACACTCGAGTATGTGTTTTCTGCATATTTTGACTCTAAAGGCCCTTACCATGTCACCAAATTGCAAATCTATTTCTAAATACATTGGGAACTTTCAAGTCCCTTCATGCTAAATGATAAAGAGTTTATATGAATTACAGATTCTTTCTGACTCCACACAGTAATCTGCTTTTTCAACTTACAATGAAAAAAAAGTCATTGATGAGTTCAAAGCTTTATCATTCAGACAGTATTAAAAAAAGGATGATGATCCTGCACTTGCATCAGATCCAGGTGCAGAAAACCAAGGGATGCTCTCCAGGAACTAAAGGAATCCTAGAGACAGTGCAAAAATGCCAGGCCAACTGGACACAAGTCTAGCAAGGTAGGGAAGCATTACACAGCAGCACTTATACAGAATGGTCTCCCAGATTAGAAATATTAAGGACATGAATTAGAAGACCTCACCTAATACCATGCAAGCATGGCATACCACCTGTAGATCCAAGCTTGTAAATCAGCAAAATGCTACACTGAACTATGGGATTTACCAGCTCAGAGACTACCAAGCATCACCTGCCTACTCAATTCAGGAATTTTAAAAAAGGCACTGGAATTTTAAAAGACACTGGTATTACTCCGACAGATATTAAATAATGCCTACACAATGTGTTACATAATGTTCTGAAGCACTGAATGTACAAAGAACTGAAAAGCAAAACAACTATGTTAATACAGGAAACAATACAAATCCATATTCTGTCAATATTCTTTAATACTTCTGAAGACCTTTTGGTGTCAGGGATTTTTGATTTGTTTGTTTTGGTGGGTGTTTTTCACCACACTATAAAACTTTTTTTTTTTTTTAGGTCTTGAATTAGTTTTATTATGCCATATACATTTGGTGATTCCAAGCCCAGTTTTTTAGATGTAATTTATCTTTTGAAAAACTTTTAGAAGTTACAGGGTAAACCCCAAAGAACTGAAAAGTTTAGTATACCATTTTCTTTGTGGAAAGATAATCCAGTATGATCTTAGAGTCCTATTACCTACTCTATTCAAGCAAAACTAACCATTTACATCCTCTCCCCTTACAAGCAGTTAAATAGAAATACTTGTCCACCCTCCAGTTCTGTCTTCCCATTAACCATCTGCTTTAATTAAAAATAACCCTAGAAAGCACATTAAAACATGTTAACAGGCAAAATCATAGAACAGGTAAACTTGCAAGGGATCTCAAAGGACCATCTCGTCTAACCCTTTACGGGAAAGGCAGCCTAGAGGGTATCCAGCAGCCTGTCCATTTGTGTGTCGAAAACCTGATGGACTCCATCACGTTCGTGGGGAGGTTGTTCTGGTGAGCGATCGTTGTCACCGTAAAAAAATTATTTTTTTATGCCGAGATGAAATGAAAATCAGTCCTGGTCCCCGTAAAACGTAGGGAAAAGAAAAAATAGACCAGGGCAGAATAAAAACTAAGACAGAATACATTTCTCCAATAAGCTTGGGGCTTTTTAAACCACAAATCGCAATTGATGTAGTTATGTGAGCTACCACCTACTTACACGGAAGAGAAAGTTGGTTTGTCTTGCCTTCCCCCCCGCCTCCTTCTCTGCCACAGAGGTACCGTGACAGGACGGCGCTGGGCACCCCCGCAGCCAGACCTCCCCTGAGCCAGGCTCTCAGGGAGCCCCCCCCGGTCCGGCCCGGCCCGGCCCGGCCCGGCCCTCACCTGCGCCGCCGTCCCCGGGTCCCGGTCGACGTCCCGGTCCGAGAACCTGCCAAGGAAACACAACGCCGTGAGCGGGCTCGGCGGAGCCGCGGGGGAGGCCGGGTGGGGCGGGGTGGGCGCTCACCGCCGAGGGGCCGCTCCCGACCCCGCTCCCGCCTCCTCCTCCTCCATTGCCGCCCCCGGGAAACTTCTGGAGCCGCCGCGGCGCCCTCGTCGCACGGAACCGCCAAGGCCGCGCCGCGCGGGGACTGCCGGGACGGGAGGAGGAAGCGGCCCCGCAGCCCCGCCCGGAGCACCGCCCCCGCCCGGACACGGAGCGACGGGAGCGACGGGAGGAGCGGCCTCTCCCTCAGCCCGTGTCGCCCGCCCCTTCCTGCCCTGGCGGCGCTCGGCGGCTCCTTCCTTGCCAGGGCGATCACGGAATCGCAGAACCTGCTGCGTGGGAAGGGACCCCCAAGAACCATCGAGCCCAACTCCTGGTCCTGCACAGGACCATCCCCATGAGTCACACCATGTGCCTGAGAGTATCATCCGAACGCTTCGTGAACTCCTGTCAGGCTTGGTGACCACTTCCCTGGGGAGGCTGTTCCAGCACCCAGTCACCCAATGCGTGAAGAACCTTTTTCTAATATCCAACCTAAACCTCCCTGACACAACTTCAGGCCATTCCCTCGGTTCTGTCACTGGTCACCACAGAGATCAGTGTCCGCCCCTCCTCTTTATGCTGAGCCCCTCAAGATTTGAATCAAACTTTGCAATTTATTTTTTTTAGTTGTTAATTGATAGCTGTAGCTGGACCAGTTATGATTAAGCAGTTGCATTGTGAACATTATATGCTTGTCTAATCTTTTGTTTTCAAGGAAAAGCAAAGACAATTTCAAGGGGAGTGGACTGTCTGGACAAGAGCCCCCAAGAGTCCAGTCAGCAGGGCTGGGCAGTAACTGGGGAAAGGCCATTCCGGCAGTGGGAGATCGCAACCACTGACCCATTGAGCACCTACTTGAAACGGATCCCAGACTCAAATGGGGGGAAGAACTGTGCCTGTGGACTGATTAGCGTGAGAAGCGAGAGATCACAGAATCAATTAGGTGGGAAAAGACCTTGAGATCATCGAGTCCAACCTGTGACCCAACACCGCCATGTCAGCTAGACCATGGTACTGAGTGCCACATCCAGTCTTTCCTTAAACACCTCCAGGGATGGCGACTCCACCACCTCCCCTGGCAGCCCATTCCAATATCTAATCACCCTTTCTGTGAAGAAACTCTTCCTGATGTCCAACCTAAACCTCTCCTGGCACAGCTTAAGATACAACTAGCAACAGAAGTTAGAGTACTAATTAATGAAAAAGTTTGCATAATCTGTAACCAATGAATGCTGATGCCTTTGTTTGTTAAAATTTGTAATTAGTGTGAAGTTTTGATAAGCAGAGAGCCAGCTTCTTGTGGGTTACCATCTACCTCCCTGCTCTGCATAAACCAGAATAAAAACCAGAAATACCTTGCCTCAGTGTGTGAGCTGGTGCTGCACACTGGGTATCCAGCCCACCTTCAGGACAACAGGAGTGTGCCTGGATGGTGGAGAGGGCTTCCCAAAAGCAGCCTGAGGCCTCCATCCTCCTCCCCCAGCTCCCTCCTGTGAAATGCCTCAGAGATAAAAAAGTGCCTTTTTCTCCTCTGCAGCCTCACATGTATGCGGAGAAGAACTGCAGCCTCAATTTTATTAATTTCTGACTCAGAAGCGACTGGGGTTTGCACTGGCATGTTTTGTTTGGCTGCTGCCACAAAGGCAGCTGTGATAAGGGAGGGGTGGCTCAAATTCCAAATGTGGGGCCTTGTTTTATGATTTACTCCAGCTTCTTCCTTCCTTTACTATACCAAAGAGAGTCTGAAGTACAGATCCACCTGGCTGGTACATCAGAGCCTAAGGGATATGGGAACAGAGTGATTTCCATTCACTGTTTGTTATACAACAGTCTGCTGCTAGAGACACATTACTGCTGCTGGAGATTTTATTTTCTCCACTTCTCCAACTGACATAAACTAAGCTGACAAATAATTTTCCCCATGTAATAGTTGTATCTATGGCATGAAGTTTTGTTGGTGAAGCTGTAACCTTACGGTGCAATTTTTTTTTTGTTTCATATTTCCAGTTAATCACCAGAACAACTTCCCCACATCTAAAAACACTGATGTCAGTCAAGCATTATCACTTCAGGTTTCCTAGAATTATGAATTACTTGTAGTATAGGAAAAACTCCCTATTTTATACTTTCATTACACAAACTAGCCTCCCTCTCCAGTGCTTTCGTCAATCTGACATAGCCCTCAGGATGAGAACTGTTATCAGTTATGCTTCTACAACACTTGTCCACATTCCTAGCAATATTGCCAGCACTCCCCAGCTGCAGGGAGCACTGCCAGATAAACAACCACTGTTTTGGGTATGGCCAGCCTTCCTGGAATTGGGGTGAAGCATATTGTGTTTGCAGGTGGAAGCCTGACTGCATGGGAGTCAGAGGGAAGAAATACTGAATTAACAGGGCAGCTGTGGCAGAGAGTTGTTCAATCGTTTGTAGAGTTACTTCTGTGCAACTAGACCAAACTACCTCTGCTACGTTTCTGCTATTAGTTTTTCTAGTAATCATATGCTTGAAGTTATAATTAACACTATCAACCCATCAATAAAACTCCCACATGAATTCAATCATAGAAAGTCATATTTCCTTTAATTTTATACTGATAGAATCATACCAGGTATGTTTATTTTTAATCCATCTTCCGCTGAAACACTGCAACATGCAAGGTTTTGAAGCCCTCGTAGTTTGAGCTATCATTTGTGTGACACAAGCTACAAACACCTTTGCAATGAATGGCACCCTAGAATTATGTTCAAAATTTTGGGTTGTTTGTCTGTAATGTATTGGGAGTTGATGGAAAAGGAGAAGTTTAAGTCCAGTTCTTGAATTAAGCTCAACCTTCAGCTGAGCTACAAGAACATACAGTACTGCTATTTCAAAGGATACCCACAACACGCTGGTTGTGTTCAAGTCTGTTCAGAAGCAATTCATGAATTGCTCATGTCCCACCACAGACCCACACTGACTAATCACCTTGTCCTGTTTCTCACTGTATTTTTGTTATTTATGATTGTCAAAACATTACAATAATATAAAAACATTTCAGAGTAAATACAGAAAAATGGTTTTTCATTTGATTTATTTTCATAATAAACCAATTAAAAATACAAAAGAAAGGACCCAAGGTTCAGTGGGCTCCATCATTTAAAAATTTGTCCTTAAATACAAATTCACTCTGTAATATGAATACATATAACATTAGACCTCTAAACATAATGATCTTATTTGCATCTATCAAAAATTTGTATGGAAACAAATTAGCTGAAAAAACTTCCCTGCGACATTGAATGTACACTATTTACAATCAAAAAAAAAAAAGAACTCTTTGCAGTATTAATCTCCAAAAACCTGCATAAATTGTATATATTTCATTTCCCTCCCCCCTTACAAAATAATCTGAAGTAGAAAGCAAGATTGTTAAGCTTCATAGTCACAAAATGGCATGAAATATTTGCACCTGTAGTGATGCCATTAGCTTCTGTAATTAAATATATCCAATGTTTTCATATAAAATATAGACATGGCATTGTCCATTACTGGAATATATGTTTTGTGTACTCTCAATAGGAGTGTATATTCTATTTTGCACACACAAGAGCTTGTGCTGCAAAAATGCAAGAGGATACCTGGTTATCAATTCTAAAACTGATGTAATTCACTGGTATGAAACAAATAGTCATAAAAATTCAAACACATGGAATGAAACTGTCTCACTAAAAGTAACTGCTGCTTCAAGAGTTAAGTGATACACATACAGATTAAACAGAAAAAGTTACAATAACAATGTAAATCAGCAACAGACTGAAAACGTAAAATAAGAAGTTTGAAACTTTGGCCAACAACCTCAGGAGAAAGTCTTCATAGCATAAAAAGCATGTTTCTTCATGCCTGTATTTTGAAAAATGAGTAATATATAATTTTATTGATATGATAACACTTAGCAATTAACAGAAAATCAAAATCCATCCTAAAGCATGAATTCTAACAATTAACTGCAGAAATTAAGTAGCTTTGCAACATTTTGCTTCAAAATCAAATCATATATACATAACTGAAAAGGTCCCATCACATTTATGAAAATAATCATCCACAGGGTCTTTTTTTTTTAATTATTTAATTCTTAATACAAATTGGGTTCCAATGGCTCATTTTCTTGCTTCACTTGCATGTTAGATGGGATACCATTCGAACTGGACACTACCATCACAAATGGCTGCTGCTGGAAACTCTGCTCCGACTGCTCAGTATTGTCTGATTTGTCACCCCCTTCCTTCACTGCTTCTTGTACGCCAACCTGTTTGGATTCTGGTGCTTTAATAACCGAAGTGATCACTGTGCCTGACGGATGAGACATCACCTGGGAGCTGCTAGGCGAAAACGTCACCACGGGGGTAGTGGCACTGAAGGATGGAGACGAAGCCATGTTGACTGTTCCATTGCAAATTGTCTGCACACTGCTGGTGAGCACCTGCTGAACTTGTGCTGGGCTCAGCACAATTGAGGAAGGAGGCGAGACTGGCTTCTGAGACTGTACCATGACATTTTCTTTAAGAACCGTCATGGGTTGTGAAGTAGGAATGGCTTGTAAAATGAATTTTTGGGCCGCTGTTACTGAGGCTGGATCTGTGCTGGCTATCACTGTAGTAAGAGGCACTGTCTGGAGTGTTACAGTATGCAGCTGCTGATTTCCAGGAGAAACAACCACTGGAACCTGGGCTGGAGTCTGTAAAGTCCTGTTAAGATTAGAAAAGATTATAGGGTCAGAACACTTCCACGCTGAATTTTAAAAAAAATACTTACTATATAAAAATCATTTGGCATCATAAACATTTATTTGCCCAACATTTCCAAAAGAAGTAGCAGTCTCTCTCCTAATAAAACAAGAACTGGACCTGACCCCTGAATTCAGCAAGATGTTCTGAAAGTAAAGGTAACGTGAATGAACAATACTGCCATCACCAAACTGAACAGCCTGCCTTTGAGACATTAAGTAGGTCATCAGAAAACCTGGAAATCACATCTAAGACCCCCCCCATCTCAAGCATCAACCAACATCACAAGCATGACCCACTACACATCTGCCATCAGTTTCACAAGTTACCTTAAATAATTCACAAATCACGAGCCTAAATAATTCATAAGTCAGGCCTTGATTCTCCTGACATCCGTATATACATTTAACTATATGCAAAAGAATTCACATTGCAGCAGTAAATCTGGTCAAGACCTACTCAGACTCCCAGGACACACAGTTCTCTGTCTGCCAGGCTCATACATGACTCTGGTAAAACAACTGAACAGAACCTGCTCCCAAAACATCACTTTAAATTAGGAGTAATTCCATCAGTTGCAGGCTCAAAGACTTGGGTGACACATTACTTTCAACAGATTTACAGCTGCAAGGGCAACATTAGAGGGTTAACAGCTGTACTGCCGGAGTACACAGCTACTACAGTGGACAACAGTGACTTAAACTTTGCAACACACTCCAGTCAAGCAAATAAAACCAAAACAAAATATCCAAACCACAACATAAATAGTTATTGGGGAGGGAAAGAGGAAGGGAAGGATAACTGCTTTGACATTCTCCTACAGCTTGCTCCAGCCCACTGTGCCATGCTGTCTTTGACAATCTTTTTTTCCTTCTGCTTGTCGTGCAAAGTTCTCTCCAACCTTTCTGTTTCTTTTTAATGTTTTCTCCTGCCTGTCCTCCTCTCCTTTTTTTAGTTTTAAGCTCTCCCTAGTATTTTCTCAAAGATAAACAAAAATAACTATCTCCTCCTCCTACCTTATTTCTACCCCTGCTGAAATCACTTTAGATGCAAAGCAATTTACTGTCAACATTTCTACTTTGAAGTCCACGCACAGCTCTGCCTGCTCTTTCTTCTGAAGAGTGGACATCAGATATGCTCTAAGGGTTGCCTACCATACATCTACCATGGAACATCCTCCTTTCTGCAGTCCTTCTATCTGTGTAGCATCTATTTTTCACAGCTCTGCGAAATCCTACTTGCCAGCATTTAGCCACTGACCAATCAACTCTGACTCAGCATATTCAAAATGTCAATTTAAAACCACACTCTGGCTATCCCAGTTTCAACAAAAAGCTTACCAAAGCAGGACTTATGTGGTGCTGAAGCTACAGGGCAATGTGGATGCAGATGCTGCTGCTGGCCATAGTCCAATCACACAGGGAGTTGCATTCCCATTTTCTTAGTGCAGCAGCAGAAGCAAGTGAAGGAATATATGTAGATGATTTGCCAGGTCCCACTCAGCTCAGTCCTCTGGGAAAGGCCTCTAGCTGAGCTCCAAAGATTGCTCCAGCAAGAGTAGCCCCAGTAATCCTGCTGGTATTAGGCTCAGAGCACATGGGTACTCCCTGCCAGTCCCTGCTGCATGCAATCTTTTCCCCCAGCTCCCACACAGCTTGCTAACACAAGGAACAAAACTTCCATCTGTAGCTTTCTCTTCCTCCCAAGAAAGAAGGTTGCAGTACCCAGCAATGCTGCAATAGCAAAACAAATCCAAATCCTTGCCAACGAGCCTCCCACACAGGTCTCATCACAAAGGCCATCATAACCAGGACTCAAAATTTGATGTGACTGACACCTGAGTCATCTTGAGCTCCTTTTTCACTAAACTAGAGACAGCCCAAGGAAGAAGCTCATGGAAATGGGGCTGGAGGTGAAGCACCAGCTAGAGTGATTGCTTCTTTCTTTCAAACTTCTGGAGAACTTGGTGCTGCACTGCAAATACCAACACCAAGCTTAAAGTGCAAGGCTCAGAATGACAGTACCAAGGCTCACATCAGGTCTGATAAAGGTTATTAGTGCTAACTCTCTTTTTTTTTCTTGCCCCTGCAATTCTCCTGGGACCTTCACAGAAAAGTCAGAAATGTCTGTGTCACAAGTAGTAACAGGATGAGGACATCCACTAGCTTTTCTTGGGGGAAAAAAAAGTAAACTGCCTACGGTTAAACAAACTTGCAGTAAAACCAAAGTGTCACATACATACAGCTCAACCCAGGAAAGTCTACAGAGACCAACAATGCCAGTGGAACAGCTATGAAGAAAGACAACTGACACTTGTCATCAGAAAAGCTTTAAAAGTATCAGAGTAGATACTGAGTCAGCTCTTTAATCCATGAAGAAACTTACCTGAGCTTGAAGGATTAAGATCAACTCAATAGCTGCAGTTTTGAAAGCAGCACCTGAAGCTGATAGCTTGTGCTGGTATGCCATCCAAGGATTACTTTGAAGCTACTTTCTTGTTCTCTAGTTGTTTTGTAAAAAATAAAAGCTTCTAACTGCTAAATGGCTGTAAAGGACAACTTTGAAAAGTGTGAACTGGATCTAATCAATGCAGAAAGTATCTCTAAAGCCCTAGCAGTAACAGCTCTGGGAAAAGAAATCAGGCCATTTGTCTTAGCATACTGTAATTAGTATCTGCATATCGATGCTAAGCCATTTTATTTCTCTTGAAAGCCAGTTCCATACCTGTACACCATACTGTGATTAAGTTTACTCTAGATGCTTTGTCTTCTCCATCAGTCAAGATATAGATATATGATACACATGTATATAAACCTGTACATACAGATATACGTATACACATATAGTATGAACTTGCTAAAGGGAATGTATGCAGCAGGCATCTGCACAAGAACAGCATAAATATTTATTTATGTTACTGGTGGCCAAGCAAGACATTTGCCTTAATTGTTAAAACTACAGACAGCTGTATCTGTTTACTAACTAAAAATCTACCTGCTCAAACTGTTTGCCTTGAATATCACTGAAAAAAAATATAGCTTGGTTAATCGTTTTCTCCATTAAAAAAAAATGTACACACTAATTAAGGTGATTTGTTAACACTGGGCTACTTTATTTTAGGTGCTTTGAACTGTGTATTTTGCTATGCTTCCGTATTTCATTGACATTTTGCTAACACCATTTCTGCTCTAAGGTACAAATCTTTTGGTTGATTATTTTAAAAGTTCCTGCTGAGGTTTCAAAAATAACAAGAACATTGAGCAACAGTGATGAAAAGGAAATGCTGCCATAAAACAATCTGGTTACAACTGAGAAAAGAATGACAAAAATTCTGAAGTCATTTTAGCTTGGCAGAAAATTATGGTCTATTTCTTGGTCCATTTGTTACTGTTAATGGCCTAGAATTGTGCAATATCTTATTAGCTCATCAAGAGGTAACTAGTGATAAAGCAAACAGTAAGTGACAGGCAAGAAAAACAAGTTTATTCATGGTAATTTACGTGAGAATTATGAAATGGAAACGATACCAATAAATACTGACGCTACAAGCCAAGGAAGATACCAAAAAAAATTGAAGCTACAAGCCAAGGTAAACAAAGTATTTCACAGCACAGTAAGAAAATGAAACAATGCAATATTAAGAAACATAGAGAGACATACCACAGAATTCCCTCTCCAACAGACACATTGTTCAACCTACAGCTATAGGGGAAATGATGGCCTGGAGGCAAATAGGCTAATTTCCAGAGACTTAGCCCATTTGTTCTGTTGCCAGAACTCATTCAGTCAAGTTAGGAAGAGTAAAGGAGGTGAAGAGGTGGGATGTGCTTGTTAGAATCACTTTGGATGCCCAAGTTGAGAGGTGATCTCCTGAGTGACTATACAGACAGCATCAACCAAATGCTACTCAGGAGCTCTACTGTTGCTGCAAACTGCTCCACAGCTGCACTCATGGACATGATCCTCAGTCATCAGCAATCTTACCAATACTTCACCCCAGTGTATTTTCTCATAGCCAGCAGCTGTTCTACAGCATAAGCCACACAGACAGGTGCTGCTAAGCAGTCCAGCAGGAGATGTCCATGAGAGGCAGAAATGCACTTGATGCTGATGCCCCCCTGCCCAGTCTTAACACAGCCTCCTCCGAAGCGGTGGCGGTGCATGTTCTTGTCTAACGCTTTGCCTGAACAACATCATTTCTTAACGTTATGAGGACAGAGGACTCAGCTCTTAAGGTGTCCTTTTACTGACCCACGGAGTTTTACATTCTTCTTACTAGAATTTTTCAAAACTGCACAGTCACCTTAATTAAAATTCAGGAACTTTGTTACTAATAGAAATCTGTAGAGCCCCTACCTCTTTCAACAGTGGAAAGACACAGAAAGAGAGCTCCTACGGATAACTTCTTATTGTGCAGAAACAAAATTAATCTGACTAGAGGATTTTGAAGTCCTTCCTGTCATAAGCAGTTGCCTTCTTGCCTACCACAGAAACTAAATCAGAACTGTGTTTAAGAAAAGTTCTTCTCAGCTGCAGGAAAATCACATCAAAATGTTTGGTTATAACCAAAGTCTTGACAGAAGATAGACAGCTGTGATAGAAGTTGTCCCTATTATAAATGTGTTCTGAGAGACAAACCTTGTTGTAAGATAAAAAGAGTTTCTTGTAGAAGCCCACTGAGATCACATCAGTCTATTCCTGACCAACATCTCCCTCAGGAAGGACATTTTTCTCACCATCCTGAAATCTACATTGCAGTCGAGCCTTCACTTAAGAGATTACAGAGATCAGCTCCTTGTAAGAGTCACCTGTTTGCCTTCCTTTGGGGAAGGCTATGGCAGCAGTGAGCCAGATCCTACAGTATCTACTAGTCAGTGTGCTGGAGAGCTTCTACTGCAGGTCTGCCTTTGGAGCACTGACAGGAGACTACTGTCTAACTGCAAACAGAAGCAAAGCAAAGCATGGGCACTGATGGTGGCCAATCAAAGGATAGCCTTCTAAATTAGACAGAAGTTGAGTTGTCATTGTGGCAGCTTGGACAGAACATGTTAGATGACCAGAATCTGGACTCAGAATTGAATATTGATAGAAACGTGTTTCATACCTGAAGCCTGCTAAAGCATTGTAAAAGGTCTGTCAGCAGTCAGCTAATTCCAAGTTTCTTGGTACACAGAGCTGCCAGCTAGATGATTCAGCTATGTCCCATACAGTCAATAAAAGAGACAGACACATAATTTAAAATTAATCACTATATAATCTTCTCTGAACCATAAGTAACATAAGAACCTCTTTTCACTACATCTTAAATCACTACTACTCTAGATTAAAGGCAAATGAAAATGCATTTTCATGAATCTTTTTATCTCCAGCTCTCATCATTTAAGGGAGAAATTTAATTGCCCAAACACAGGCACCTTACAGCCCTGTATGATGTCCTACACAAAGTAAATCCCCAGCCTTACAGGAGAAGTACACTTTCTGGAGCAACAGAAAGAATGCTCTTTACACTCAGAATGACCCAACGAACATGGAGCTGAATTCCAGGCCAGTGCCTCCTAATTCCAAGATAAAACACAATTACTCAAATAAACCAGATATTCTGGTTAACCTGTGTAAGTTATTCTGATTTAAACAGAAGAATTTTACAAGCACTAGATTCAAAGAAACTTTTTCTTCCTTGTAAACGGTGTCTCATTGGAAAAAGTTAGCAATAAAATGCTCATCCACAGTGACGTTTTTATTTTTGTCTTATCACTGCAAACATTTGGTGCCAAACTTGGCCCCCAGTTACACAACCGGAGACTACAGTAACTGTGCGTGCATACACCAAGCCAGAACCGTTAGATCTGCAGAACAGCAGTGCGTTTACAATTTCAGATATTCCCACTGGGGATACTACATGTTTTCCTCAGTCAGCAAAATCCAGTTTGCTTGACCTGACCCTGCTCCTGCCCTGTTTCCTAAGCTTCAGTTAACACAACACCACAGCCTTTCTCTTTAAGCACTGGGGCTGAAGAGCCATTTATCCTTGGAAAGTAACACTTCTCTTTGTCTCGCCTTCATACAACAGCACCAAAACTTGTATAAAAAGTACATCAAAAGCCATCCAAAAGCCAAGACCTTTCCACTTCAGAGTAAGATACAAGCTCTGTGCAGCTATAAACGAAGTTGCTGCCTGTCTCCTGCAAAGAACCAACTGTGGATTCTCACTGGCATGCCCATTTCTTTGAGAAACGCCAAGAGGCCCTGGGGAACAGTTGCAACACTCTCCCAGTGATGCTCTGCGAGTAGTCTGTATCAGACAATGTTGCCTAGTGCAGGGCAGGGATGCTGACATGAGCCCTTCACAACAGTCTTCAAATGTGATTCTTTTACCAAGTCCCTCAGCAGAGAAGATGTAGGTTCAGAACTTAACTCTCTGAAGGCTACAGTTAAGTGCTAAGAAACCAATTGTTTTGACCTCAAAGATGCTCGATATTTTCTCTCCTATTTTTTTTCTTCTTACAACACAACAGAAGCAAATTGCTGCAGAGGGAGGACCACTTACTTCCATGAAGCAGAGGAGTGAACATTCACATGAATAAAACTTTAGAATTACATTGCATAAGACAAACTATATGGGTTCAAGATGTTCACGCTTTGAGGCAGAGCCCAACCACTAACCAGTATGCATCAGAAAACCTTTCGAGAATCATAACCAGACCCTAGTTGTTGTTTTGCCCAAATGACCTTGACTATTTACATGCCCCAACCACTGAACAGCAACTGGCAACCAGTGTTGCTATTTGTCCTCATTCTTCCTACTATAAAGTGACTCCAAACACAATCCTACAGAGCGTGTGCACACATCAGAAGGTCTGTCAACTCTTAGTCTACCACGGCATTCATACCTGCTGTACATTTTCAAATCATGTAGACCATCCATTTCAACCCTTATGGAAGCCCCACTGCAGCAATTCAGAATGTGTACACAAACACATTCAACTGCTAGAGATTTAGCTGTTTGAACAAATCAACCTTTATTTCAGCCTTATTATAAAACAAGAAAAAACATATGCTCCGAAATAAGTTCAATGTGTTATTCTACCTCACCAAACTACTTGAAGTTTGCACTTCGACGCTGAGCAGAAATGTATCTGTCATAAATTGTATTTTGAGAGCCTGGAATGGGCAGTGACTATTGCACAGGACTCATCAGCACCTTGGTTTGCAGCTTGTCCCATCCTGGTGGTTATTATTTTCATTCTAACTGCTCAGAAGCCGTAGTATAATCTTTCTTAATCAGCAATACTTCTATACCATTCTGAAAAGGTCAGATGGTTCCTTTTTTCCCCTTCATTTAAGACACTTTGTCATCAATTGCTAAGAAAAGTGCAATTGAAGACTTCATGGAATAATGTTCTAAGTTACAAACAATGGATGTGAACCAATGCAATATAGAACTCTAAGGCTTTAAGGCTTTTATTTAATTTGAACCTCACACATATATCATCTCTACTACTTTTTCCCCTTAGTTTATTACCCAATGTCCGATTGTGAAATACTGTAATGCAATAACTGGATGTCATAATGTCACTGAGCAGCTTTCCAAATGTTAGGCTGGACTTCTAGCCTGCATTAAGTCTTACTTCTGTTTGTTGTTACCATTCTTTATACCATCTGTACTACTGACATTTTTTGTGATACATAATCTAGTGTAGGTCTAGCCTAGACCTATTTAACTCCGCGAATTCCTGAACTTTCTCCTTATGAATGTTTAATATTATTGTTCTTCTGACTTATGTGGTACTGCATAGCCTCAATTATGTCTGTAGTTATTTCCTTTCACTATATATTGCCCTTGTCAATTTTTACAAGTAAGTAAATCCTTCATCAAGCCTGAACTCATTGGACTGCACTGTACTGAGTAGCTTCATCCCTAAGCTTTAAAAACATACAACACATCACCTTGATGCATATTTTTATTAATTCTCTAAATTCATTTCAAAACTGGAATTTTTTTGTTAAATCCTTCATAATCATCTTTCACATAAACTTCCGATCAAATATAATCTTTCTCTCTCCTATTATTCGGAAACAAAGAAATTATTTGGTCTCATTAGTGCCATTACCTACTTCTCTGACAAGAACGCATGGTTTATCTCAGAGAGTCAGTACCACTCCAAAACTACTGGTGGCTCTGGATGTAATTTTCAAAGGAAAGAATAGAGGAAGGGAGTAGGAAACAGCATTACTGCCATTTTGCAGCAGAAAATTATAACCACTAACAAAGCAAATATCAAAAAAAGTTATAATAATTGATTGAGAATGTGCAGCTCCTGAATCATATCCTGAAGCTTTCCTGAAACAGCTTTAAGGTCCACAATCACTATATACAACTCTGACATTCCTGTGAGGAGCCTAGATTGCAAGAACATTTGTTTGTTTAAAGTCTTTTGTAGTCACTATGCTGAGATGAACAAGCTCCATATGCACCCGTCCATCGGGTGACGCCTCAGGCTAGGGTAAAATCAGGCTTAAGTGACTTTTTAAAGCCTCTTCTGTTAGGATGCTGCTACTAAGGGGTAGATGCAAAAGAGTCATGATAACTGTGTAGTGTTAGCCAGTTGACTTACAAGTTCAGTCTGGAAGCATAACTGTCTCCAAAAGCAGTCTACAGATACACAGATCACATGAAATTATTCTGTTAATTGTTTTCTAAAATCAAAAGAACTTGTTCTTGTAGCAGCAGCAAAATGCTAGAGCAGATAACATGGAGCTTTCCCTTGCTGTAACTGGGGACTATACAAAAGATTAAAGAGATGACAAAAATTCTTAAGATGAAAAAGCAAGAAGGAAAATCTTTCTGAAAGGATCATGCAGACCCACCATGTATAATTCAAAAGCAAAGACACCAAACAGTTGGTGTAGAAGCAGAGACATGAAAACATAGTTTCTGCTGTGGAACAGAATTGACAATGCCAATTTTAAGGAGTTGTGTATTTTTCCTCTCGAAAGGATGTGCATCAAGTCTAATACCATGGGAAAGATGCACTTCCCCCCACCAAAGGCAGAGTGTTTATGTGTGTACATGTCACAGTATGCTGTAGTCACTCTAAATTCCTAGGATCAACCACAAAGACATTGTTTCACGTCAACCAAACTGGAAGACTAGCATTTCTTGGAAGCAAAACAATCTAGTCTATCTAGCCGTCAGCCAGTGAATTTACTATTATTCAAATATTTATGTTCTGTACATTTTCTTACCTTATATTCTGAACCGAGGAATTCAACGGTTCATCCGGAACATTACTGGTTACAGCTGCATGTCCTTCTGTGAGGGGTTGCAATGGCTGCATTACATGAACTGTCCGAAAAAGCTGAGTGGATTGTACTGGCTGCGGAGATTGCATTGTCCTCAAAACTTCTGAAGTCAAGCCAGGTGTCTGCTGCTGTCCAACTTCTACATGCTCCTTCAGTTTAGCAGGCTTTGCGTTTCCTGTTTTTAGCATCGCGGTTGATCCTCCCTTTGTTCCTGCGTTTGCAGATGCTCTAGTTCTGCTTGATTGGTTTCTGTTGGCCACCGCAGTTGAGAGCAGAGTTGAATCTGATGATTCAGTGCTAGGGCTCGCATCCTCATCATCAATATAGATGAGATCTTTTGGCATTTCTTTAAATTGGTACACTAGACGCTGACCTTCTACTTTAGCCAGGATTCCTCTTTGGTAATAGTATCTGTTTAAAGCATACATACATCAAGTTACACAGGTTTTTTGCCAAAACCAAAACAAAGCCACAAAACTCCCAGAAAATAAACATAGCACTAACAAGTAAACAAACTTTTAAGTGTCTAGTTTCTTCATTACAAAAAAGTTGCCTATTTAATAGCATATTGTTTTCCTCAAACAACTTTCATTTACTGGTATTTCATGTCACGTTTTACCTCCAACCTTAAATACCTCTGAGGAGAAAAAGAAAAGAACTCCATGACTTGGCAGCTCTGCTATCAACTCATACGCTTTAAAAAGGTGCATGAAACTTTCAATTCTTCTCTTGACTCATACAGTTCTTTCAGTTACCTGAATTCATGTTTATTCACCAGTGAGCACAAGCAGACATTTTAGCTACAACAAAGCAAAGGGAACAGGACAGGAGGGCACTACTTCTCTCATATTTACAAACTAATATGACAATTTGAAATAACGTACACTGAGGTGAGGGGTGAAGGGAAATTAAAAGAAATGCATAGCTGCTGAGTTGGACAATTATCCAGGTAAGACTGAAGCTTCGTGGACATCTGCTTATTTTGCACAGTCTTTTATGTATGAGAAAACCCCCGGCTTGATAGGCAGTGGCACACAATTCTGTGTTTTAAAACTGTCTGTACACACAAATTCAGAGAAGTGAAACCAGATCTGAATTCTGAAACTTTATCTTCCACTGGAAAGGGGATCATGTGCAACAAGTAGAAATAATTTAATGAATACACCTGCATTTTAGCTTTTTTTTTTTAGAAAAGGCATTCAAATTTATGTAAAAGGCTTGCCCCACTTGAAATCTTCAGTCTTGTACTTTGTCTGTGTCTGACTCTGAAGATGCAGTTTTTGCAGCAGCACTGAAAAATGTCTGTGCTGAAACTGAAGGTGACTGACTTGGAGTTGAGGTTAGTGAGGGTTACTTTTAGTTAGCTAATTTATTTTCCTGAAATAATTTCTTCATTTTCCAAACTAATAGAACACTATGTTGTTATACAAATTAGATGAGGCATTAAATGCACACAAACACTAAGGCAACAAAAACAGTCTTTTATTAAAAATGCACATACCTGAGAGCTCTACCCATTGTTTCATAATTCATGTCAGGTTTGTTTTTGTGTTTTCCCCACAACCTGGACACAGCCTTGGAATCTACCAGTTTGAAAATGCCCTTCTCTCTTTGAGTCCATTTGATATATTTAGGACACGTAGCTTTGTCCTGGAGCAGTGCTAGTAAGAACTCCCAGAGATAAATTGTATTTCCTAAAATGAAAGTATTTCAAAACACGGAAAAAATAGAAAAAATATTAGTTGACCATATTTTATTAATGATGCAAATAATTTTAAAAGTAAGAAGCTGGGATCTTTACAAATACATTGTAATATATCATCAAGACTAGGAAATAGTGATGGAAGAGGATAGGAAAAGATTCTTGTGAGTTATTATAATCTGGATGCCCAAACACCCCAGCCACTCTTTCTGTACCAGTCAGGTACCAGTCAACCTACAGCTGCCTCATTCCAACCACCAAGATTAGACAGCATTAGTCACCTATGTATCCATTTCCCTCCTGCCTAATCCGGTTACAGAAGCAGTCACTACTGCTTTATCTTGAATAGGAACACGTTCAAGTCTATGATCTAAAAATGCTGGAAATTAGGCTGTTGCTTAAATGCTTTGCTGAATTGAGGTGAGTGTTATAATCCTTTAAAAGGCTAAACAAAATCCTTACTTTTAAGAATTAGATTTATATGGGGCAATCAGTGGTATGTGCTGAGGTAGGTATATCTTCAAGGATAAAGTACAGAAAAAGGTAATTTTTTTTAATCCAGTGAGCACTTGCACTTGCTGGTAGACAACCCCAAATTTAATTTTACAAACAAGCAGGCACAAACACTTATATATGGTAATCCGTCACATGTGTTCAGTGTTTACCACGTATAAAGAAACAGTATTAAAATCACAGATTGTGAATACTTAAAACAAGCACAAAATTTGCATAATTTTTCTGAACCACATTTAAGGAGTCTAAACTCATACAACCAATTAGACCCTTTTTTCTGCCTTCTTTTTTTAAGGTTTTTGGGTGTTTGACTTTCTCTCAGGAATCTGAAGCTGCACGTTGGCTTTTTAGTTGTTAGTCTGAGAAAGTAAGTAAAAACTTCTTGTATCACGTCCCACAAGTAGCTGTGCAAAAACACAGCAATGACAGCATGTGCAAGTTTCATAAATTCCACAAAATATGATGCCCAGCACATCAGAAGGTGACAGGATCACTTATGATAGCTTCAATTTAACCCAGCAGATTTTTTTTCCATTTTAACAACCACCAGTCTGATCTCTTTTTCTCCTAAAAAATGAAATTCCCATAGTTCTGTACTATAAACTATATTTAGTAAATACTCATCAAAGTCATCAGCACTGGCAGTATAAAAATGTTAGCAGCTCCTTCAGCAGGTGGAAGCTTGAAAAGTGAGCATTCCTAGAGAAAAAACAACGCCTTTGCAAATGTCTCCCAGCTTGCATAAAATAGTCTGTTTGCCTTCAGATACCCCAGAGGTAAAGGTTAAGACTGTCATACAGGAGTGAGAGCATTCCCAGCTATTTACGATCTAATCTAGGATGCTTTTGTTGTAGTCTAGACCAAAAATGCTCAGCTGCATCAAGGCAATCTGAAAATTTGTCACTGCTTAGCCACTGAAATCACTATGAAAACAACTGGCTGCAAAAACCAGGTCTGCTTTAATGACAGGCTTTTTTAACCTCTTCTGAGTCACAACAGAAGAAATAGGTAGAAAACTCAGTTTTCTCTAAGCATCGTATCATATAATTACATGGAGAACTTGTTATTTTAGCATACAAGTTCCCCTTAGGGAATACACAGGCAGCTCTCGTGATTTTCTAGCTTCTTCCCTGCCACGGCTGATCATATTAGTATGTCTTTTACTTGAATTCTATGTTTCTCAAAATGCAAAACAAATGCTCTTCATAGCAGGCAGTGGTTTCAGGCAACACACTCCTTTTTATTTCCTTCAGAATTAGCAATTTTGTAACAATGGACAAATGTGAATTATGATGTGTCCCTGCCATCATCAACAGAAACATTAGAATCTTCTCCCTTTTAATTTTTGTGGCTAGCTGCTTTCATATTTTCTATTATTTCATTTGAGCACGACATGGAGATCCTCTGATATTCTTCTTTCATTTTTATTTAAAAATCAGGTTGTAATTAAAAAAAAAAAGGCAACAAGGTGTACTTAAAATTAATGGCATTAATATGTTAAATATTTATTGCTTGCCAATAGTATTTTGTTCCTGTTATTGCAGAAAATGCCTCTTCAAAAAGAAAAAACCCAACATATTCATTTGTCAGTATAGAGACTTTTCTGACTTCATGAGTCTGACATTGTTATGACACCACCTTCCAAGGTTGGCTGGGCTTCTGTCCCCGCAAGTACTGCATGCATGCAAGCCCAACAGTCCCCAGGCATACAAGCAGGCAGCTGTGACATGGGGGAGGCTCATTTCCAGCTCCCACTGAGCGCAGCACAACTCGCTGGGTCCTCAGCATCAGGCTGCCATTCAGACATGGCACGGGTGCAGGTGTTGGACCCAACAGCAAAGCAACAGAGTTGCTGACAAAACTGACAGGCATTACTGAACAGTTCAGTCTGAAGGAAATGATTTATTGTATCAGTTATGTGGCATCTATTTTTATTTCTCCCTTTTAAACACAGGAGGAATTAGAGTATCAAACTCCCAAGTTTTCTGCTGAAGTCTTCAAGTTGTGTTATAACTTTTCTCCAAATTCAGGGCTCGGTACTTCCTGCTGCTGACTGGCAGCCTTGATTAGCTCCTCATGCAGAATTAGACACAGATGGAACACATTTTCAAAGATCATCTGTCAAAATAACCACAGCCCAAGAAACACTAATACAATGCAAAGCACTCCCCACGACTTCACTGAAAACACAGCAGACCCTGTGGGGGGTTGAAGAGTTTCCAAGAACCCTTGCAACTGAAGTGACAAATACATTTTTCTCCCTAGGAACTGAGTATTTCACCAAGCTCATATGCTTGTCTTTTACTTGCCTTATGATGAGATATGTTAACCATCCCTGAACATAAGACTTGGGTTTACATCACAAGAGAACTGGTGAACTTTTTCTTTTTACAGGTCACTTGGAAACAATGTTCTTTTAAAAACTTCAGTGACAACTCTTTGACTTACCCTTTCCATCTTTGTTTTTCTTTTTCACAGATATGTTTGGAGTTGTAGTAGGGGACTCAGAACGAGATGGTTTCGGTTTTTTCCCTGAAATAAACCACCAGTGAGCCACTGCAGCTTTAAAAAACAAACAAACAAACAAAAACCCAAACAAAAAAACCAAACAAGGACCTAAAAAGGGAAGAGATATGTTTCCCCAGTTCAAAGAATATTCAATTTCTACTAAGTTAGGAACTCACTTCTATGCTGAACTTCTTCATTTTCTAGAGCAGGATTGGACCACCTATGCTCTTACTGTACTTTTAGTAAAGACTATATTCACTTTCCTGAAGTCCATGTGCTTTGGAATTTGTGGCTATTTAGGTACTCTTAAGAGCACTTAAAGCAGACAAGATGAGAAGAATAAGCTATTAACTCTGGGTAAGAGTTTAAAGAGGAAAAGATAGATAAAATACAGAGCACTATCTTGTTCCCTCATCGCCAAACTGGAATTTAGGGACAAAACAAGATTGCCCGCTTGTTTAATCAATTGCAAGTCTCCACTGACAGCATCAAACTACACTGTCCTGTGAAACAAACATTTTTTTCCATCCTGTTGTCTTTTACACCTTTTTCAACAGTGGCTGCACATAGAGGAAAGTTACTTGTTTATAACGATCAGAAGAACCAGTAACAAGCTCTGAAAAAAAACCATCAGTTTTTAAAGTCATAAGCATGGTGGCTCTATTTGGTAAGGAAGACTGAAAGAAAGAAGTTAGTTACAACCGATCAGAAGAATGAAGAGCATTCACTTGAAAATGCTGCAAAATCAACTACTGAAACATAAGGAAATAAAAAAATCGAAGTCACGCTGAAATATTTTTCAATATAAAACCTTGAACCTACTCCTTTATTAGTTCTCATTCTTTGCAATTGCAGCTTTTATAGGTGAAGTAATTAATCAGAAACCTTCAGAACTTTCTTATGAAATAGCAATTTATCTTATCAGGTTTTGCAGTGACCCCTTACTACATTGACGTTACTTAAATTACTGCCTATGATCCTTTGAGAGGTAGAATAGACTAAGCAGACATAAGACTCAGAGAAACATATTTCTAGTCCAAATAGCATATTGTCATAATTAAAGATCTAAAGAAAAATATTTTTCTTTTTCTCTATTTATTGCAGTTCAAAAGAACTGACGTAGTAAAAAGAGGCAAGACCAATAGGCCTGAGCAATCCCATACACTATAACTTTCCACTTTTGGTTTTGTTTTTAGGGGCTGTTTTAGTAAGGAAACAGCTCTGCTGCAGAGTAAGAGTGATGGTTTTTCACTAGCTCTGAAAAATAAAAAGCTCAGTGCCAGGTTGCACTATCTTCTTTGTTCCAGACTTCCAAGTATCTATAAGGAAGTCATAAGAAACAGTGGTTTGAGCATTCATCTTTTGACATTAGCAGTCTTGCTAAGTCCACCTCTGCACCTTTTTCTTTCTCTTTTTTTGACAGGGTATGAGGGAGGAAGGATAGTTAGTTGAGAGAGCTATAGTGAAGAAACTCTAGTAATACCTGGAGTCCTCTAACTTTCTTGCTTCCATTCAGACAGGATTCATGACTGAGGACAGGACACAAACAACACTCATCATTTTGGCCAGTAATGTTTTCCTTGACTTGAATGAAAGTGGGAGGGAGGAAATCCTACAACGTTGTTTTTTTCATATATCATGATATGAAAGGATAAAGAACTACTGGGGTATATTTTTAGAAAGTTTTTATCCATTCACCATTATAGGTTGCAAAAATGTCAGTTTTCCCTAAAAAGTTTAGATGAAGTCACTCTGTATGGATCAGCCTCTAGGGCACAAGAAACCCCTCAGGGTAACTTTGGCTAAGTGCTTCCCCCCCTTTAAGTTGTCACAGGAAGACTGTTGGGTGCTAGTCTTGTTTCCCCTCTTGAACAGGTGTAAATGCAGCTATTAAGGAGTAGGGAGTGTTATTCTGATGTCATTAATTTAGACCTTATCTCTAAATACCTTCAGTTCTTAAGAGACAATGAAGTGGATGAGATCGCAATTGGGTCATGACTGAACTACTGCTCGTAAGCTTCAGGAAACAGAAGTACTGATCCCATGTAATTTACATCATTCTGATTAGAGATAACCTAGGCTACTAAATATGAATACTCTGGCAACAGCAATTCTAGGCTCTCTTTCTTCAGCCTAGACTACTTCAGGACATCTCATTTGGACAGTCCTCTACCAGAAGCCCAACCAAAATTAGCAACCAGTGAAGAATGTGAAACTTCTTTACAGAAATGTATCCATGTTACTGCTGTATATCTAGGCTAGAGATACTTAAGACGATGGTTTCAGACCACACTGTGAGCTATAATCTCCAGGAGCTGACTGATACCATCAAGAGAAACAGTTAACAGAGACACACCAGATATGTTTCCTTTCTTTAAAAGAAGGTATTTTTTGAAAGCACATTAAGCACTAGCACGCATCCTTCTTTGGTTCAATAGAGCATGAATTTATTACTTTTTGGAGTACATCACTAAATTCTTTTATAGGAAAGAATTTTACAAAGAGGAAGAATGAAGAACATGCAAGAGCTAAGCCTTATGTGGGGCTATCATAGTTTTGGCTAGCTAATTGAATTTATAATTGGTATTTTCACTACCTTCCCATAGGAAATACAGGACTGAAGGTATTAGTACAGCAAATTTCCAGGTTTCTTTGTCTGACACCCCTTTGTTTTTCCTGTCTTTCTGATGCGTAGTTTGGCAGCTCAGTGCTCAGACATTCATGAGTACAAACATCACACTGAACACATGTTTGGAGCTGAGCAGATGGGTGGATACAGCTCTTCTACTGTAGCAGTAAGGTCCACAAGGAAAAGAAGTGAAATCACCTCATCATTTCTGGAGAACATTTTCTTGGGGAAGCTCTACTTGACAATGCCATTTTGGCCCAGTTAGCTGGCAACGCTCTGGACTATTCATCCCTCTAAGTTTAGCTGATGGGTTAATACACTAGAAGTCTATAAAATCTATAAAAACCCTATAAAATCATGAGTGACATGGATAGGGCAAAATGACCACCACCATTTGCCATGCCTCAAAACTGACCAAAGGAAGGGAAACAGACTGCACTTAAAAAACCCCCCTACAAACAAACAAAACACCCAAAAGAACCCCACCCACCCACTGCACATCATCTGAAAGTGCACTGCAAAATTAATAACATTTTGCAGCAATTCTTGTACATCAATGACTTATAAATGCCGGGTCATTTTGAAGTAACACTACAACATCACTCAGGCCATACCACCTACCTCATGAACATTGAAATTCACTGAAAACTAGTAGCTAATGAAACACTAAGCTGATGAATCTTTTCTAGTGTGTTTTTTTTTTTTCTAAAACAAATATACACATTTGCTGTGAAGCAACTGGTTTTCTAACCGACAGCTAGGGAGGAGGAAGGAGTGGGTGTAAGCAGAAGCACAACACGAAAGAGGGTATGAAAGCATCAAACCAAAGAGGTTAAACGTCTGGCAGACAGCAGCTCCTTGTTTTGACACACATAGAAGCCAACAGTATAAAAGAAGAAGGAAAGAAAAGAACAAAACAAAAAAAACAGTTTAAAATGCTGTGGTTATCTCACAGTAGTGCGCACAGCACAGTAGCTTCCCAGCAGTACTTTTAGGGCAGCTGCTGGTAAAGCGCCCTTCCACAGCAGTTTCAGTTCAGCTTTCTTAGGGGAATCAGAGACTTCCTGACCCACACCCCTGCCTGCCAGACCTTGTGACACACATGGGGCTCAGGAGGCTTCCCCAAGATCTCCACAGGCTGCTATGGTCTCTCTCACAGATAACTCCCAACATTTGGAATTAGCAGCAAAAGTAGCAGTAAAAATGCACTCCTATTCAGCAGGATAGCTGACTGGGTAGGTAGCTGACTGGCTGGGTAGCAGGATTCCTGTTTTGGAAGGCTTTTATTTATCATGCTCTAGGATTAGCCCTAGGGTTAGCTCCAGAAACATAACGCCCTTGGTTTATTTTTCTTTTTTTTTTAATTTGTTGCAACAGCACCTAACATCTGGCTATATTACATGACTCTCTTTCCTTGTAGACATCAGCTTCAGACCTCTGATGGGGTCCACATTGAAGTAGGGTGGGAAAACAGGAGCAGAAGGTCTGGCTAACACCACTTCATTACTCTTTGGCACAGCACTGACTATAATGGAACATCACTACACTGTGTAAATCTAATCTACTAGAAATGGGATTAACACTTATTATAGCATGCAGCTATTAAAAAAAAATTAAATCCTTCATATTTAAGAAAAGCTAAAAAGCCCTCCTCATTCTCATCCCCTATTCTGAACTGATCAAGTATCTTCAGTTGAAGCTAGGTAAGGGCTAATTAAAGTACTTCAGGATTCACAATAACAAAAGCTCTATAGCTTGTATTGCAATTCTGCTCTGAAGAAGAAATATTCTTATAAATAGGAAGAAGCAGAGATTTCTGTTTCCTGCAGGAAAGCCATCTTTGCTATCTCTACAACATCATTAGTCTAAGCACCAGTATATGTTCTCACGCTACTCAGGAAGAAAATGTTTTTTCTGCATTTCTAACTGAGCCCACTCAATTATTTTGGCCTGACACCCAGAATGGTTCCAGACACGCACAGGGGAACTGACCATGCCACCCACTGCTCTCCTACTCCACACTGCTGTTCTCCGGTATCATCTTACCTTTTCTCTTCCTTGGTTGTTCAAATTCTGGAGTCTCTGGTGATTCAGCATAAGGGTCTGGGGCTTCCACCACCTCAGGGATCCCATCAAGTGTGACTGACACATGTGTAATAGGAGCCACCATGTCATCCTCTTCAGCTGTGCCAAACATAGTTGCTTAAAAGAAGAGGACAAAAGGAATATTTTCACACAGCCATGAGGACTTTTAAAAGTTGGTTTTAGATCAAAAATTTAAACATAGAATAAAATAAAACTATGACACTTAAGGCCTTCAAGGGACAGAAGACTAGTTTATAAGGGAATATGAGCTGAAAACCTTTTACACAAGCAGAAGCACTACTAAAATAGAAAAATTTAATGATATAACCCACCTCCCCAAAAAAGCACAATTATCTGGTGATCACACATTCACATTTAAGGCAATCTGCAAATATAAGTGTATGTTCTTTTATCCTGACAACATGCTAATCCTCTATCAGCCAAGCAAAACACTGCAATCTAAACCACCCAATTTCACTCATACCTTCCCTCTGTAATTTTTGATTCTTTCTTTTCCTATTCAACTCTGGCATGGCAATGAAATCTTTCAATGCATATAACACTGGATTTCTGATACCCAAACTATGTATGTAAAGGGTATCTGGAAGTTATAAAATAATCTTACCAATTCCATGCAACCACGCTGCACTGAATCCCTCCTCCTTTCACAAACAAGGCAAATACAGATTGGATTTTCTTTCATAAAAAACTTACTTATTCTTTTTTCATCCAGCATAGGACCAGGGGAGTCCATATTGAGAAGTGCTTCAGCAGCCTCGATTGTTTCCATTGTTTCATCTCCATTATGACAAGATGCTTCAACTAAAAGCAAAGGAGAAAAAATAATTCTTAAGAAGCTACAAACTGGACTTAAAGCTTAACACAATATTTATTCTTATTTCATTTCCAGAAAAAAAAAAAGAAAAAGTAGTAAACATGGTCTTCTAGTACATGAGTAGAAACAGATTAGCTGGGGAGAAAATGCAGACTGCAATAATTTAATTTATTTAGTACAGTACATTTTTCAGATTACACATAAAAAAACCCAAAAGCAAAACCAAGCCCAATACAAACCTTCTGTTTCTGCCTCATTGTTCTAACCCCTCTCTTTGCTGATTATGCAGTAAAACACAAAACCAATGAACCTAAGAAATATCACTATCACAAACAATAGTCCAGAGAATATTATTTAAAAAACATGATATTGCTAACTTCTTATGGTGGTCCAAAGTGTTATCCACATGTCAATATTTTGTGTTATCTACATAAAACATGTGGATATGACACTTGAGGACATGATTTAGTGGTGAACATGGTGGTGGTGCTGGGTTGACAGTAGGACTTGATGATCTGAGAGGTCTTTTCCAACCCTAACGATTCTATGGTTCTACGAATGGAAGTGAATTCCACAAATAAGAGATGCTCATAAAAAATATCCAGTCATTTAGCCTGGAGGAGATTAAAAAAAATATTCCACAAGTTCTATTAGACAGCATAAAATCTAAAGGTGTAAATGAATCCTAAACCATTCAAACTCATAGGAATTACAGGTAAGGCTAACAGTGCAAGCTCCAAGAACATACTGGAAAGCAAACATGAAACATGAAATGCAATACAAAGGGCTGGCAAACCTTCCAAAATTTTTGACTTCTAGACAATTCCTCATCAATCTCAGGAGGGTAGTCATTAGACAAACCCAAAGCTCTTGAGCATTAATTTATGATGCTTAAGGTACATTTGAAGGTCATCTGAGGGGACACACCAAAAACACCCAGTAAAATATCATTTTGCAAAATAACAGCTCTCCCAAGAAGATAATATTGGTTTAACCGGAAGAGTACTTCACCAGAGGATTTTTTAAAAATAATTGTATTATGAAAAATAAGACAGATGGTAGTTCCTGGTACTGTAAACTTTTAAAACTGGTTTACACGTTCTTTTAGAAATTACTGTTTGTTGGATGAAAATGCATGGGCCGGGCTTCCTTATCCTTTGACATGAATTTGATGCAACTTTCGGGAATTCACTTGCATCTATCAAAGTGATAAAAAGGGCTGCATTAGTTTTCCCCTCCCTAGGACACCAAGAAACTCATCTACTTTCTCAGTCCAGCAACGGTAATAAGTCAGCTTCACGCCCTCACTCCCTGTTTAGCTTTGAGGAATTTTGGGTGGTGCAGTCACAAAAAAAAAAAGAAAAAGGCAGACATGCACCTTCAGACACAATGTAATGACCTCGGAACATTTCTTACATTTCTTCGCACAAAAGCAAGAAGTTTATGCCAAAATTTCTATACTTAAAAAAACAAACAAACAAACAAACAACCTTAAAAATATCAGAGCAATAACAAGAGCATCCAGCTCAGTTAGCAATAAGCAATTATACAATTAAAAAAAATCCAACCAACCAACCAACCCTGGTTTCACCCCAAATGTTTACAGCTTCAGCATTTGTATCATTAGGAGAGGGCAAAGATGAATGCTGAGATGCACACAAGAGCCCTACCTCCTCAACCCAGCTGTGCTTTACAGAAGCCTCCTTACCTTCTGGATTTTTTTCTTTACCTCAGTCCCACCAGCCCCAAGAGTAAGAGGCTTAGGCTAAAACAGAATAAAGTAGATAGGTGTTGGGAACCCCTGATCCACACAGCAACTCATCCTGTTGCCTACAGGAACACCTCCACCCCATATCTTGCAAAGACATTCAGACAGTTAAGGGTCTGAACCTTCTTGCTGACATCTCCAAACAGCCTTAAGAAATGAGGAACACAGAGCTGGGGAGGAGGACAGTGTGAAGAGAAAAGGGGAGGCAGTGAGTATGGACTAAGCTCCTGGTCTGGGAAGCCATAGAGCAAGACAGCAAATTGCAGATAATTTTGTCAGGCAGCTGGCAAGCTCAAGAGCTCAGCCACAGAGCATCTCAGCCCCAAGGGCCAAACAGCATCACTAGGGAATGCCTAGCCAGCTGAGAAGGAGACAGAACATGTACAGCCCATGCAGTCTGTGGGTATACTCATGCTTGGCCTGGTGCTGATGACTTGATCATTTCTGGTTCTAAGTTTTATCTGGATGCAAACTTTCCATACCATTTACCAGCATTACCAAGATCTCAATAAGGATGTGACCCTAAATATTGGCACGCAGCACTGAAAAAGCAGTTGTTCTCAGTTCCAACACTGAATGGACAGGAAGGTTAACCCGCCACGATCCAGCTCAGCCAAAGCCGTGGAGCATGGCTGGTTCACGCTGCCACATACAATTTAAAAGCTAGCAGTTGTACCCCCAGGTTCTCAGTGCTGCAGGCAGGGAGGAGAGAGCTGCTGCTGTCTCCTCTTTCCCCACTGTGAGAAATAAAGAATCGGTTTTATTACAAGCAAATGAATTTAGCAAATCACTAACATAAGAGTTTTTCTTTACTAACCTATAGGGCATATCGCGGAGCTGTAAGATGCCGGATTCAGCCTGGAACCGGTGTCAGGGAAACATGCGAACGGGAATAGGGAACTGTAAATGAATATTGGTAAGGAAACCCCTA